ACCTTGTCATTCTATGTAAACATAATTAGTCGATTACTGAAAAGGCGAATCCTGTGTTTCACGCTTTGATTCCAATTTAACATGTAATTGAGAGATTTGCACTTCATTTATTCAGCTGACTCTAATAATAATAAATTATTATCACTCAAAAACAATCTAAAATGATGGAGCCATCGATAAAGGCTTAGTCTAAGTTAGATAATTCTCGCTATCGTACACCAGTGATCCCACACAAGATTGAACACATGATCTTCTAATCCTACTTCCAAAATTGTTATTCAGAATTTAAGAAATTTACGCATCCAACCTTGGTTAATTGAAAACAGTACAACCTAAATATGATCAATAATAACTGTATGACCTCTGGACTGGATTCACAAAATATCTGTCAGTGTCCCATGTGAAATTCAAAAAAATTCATTTCAAATCTATTTGTCGATTGTTTAATGACTATTATCGAGCCTAACATTTTGTGACGAACTTCTTGTCTCACAATAGAAATTATCCTTTAATTAAATATCCACGTTAGTTGATAATATCAAGTAATACTTTGATTTTATTTATATACTACTAAAAGTCTTATGATTATTGGCCACATATTTAAACCAGTTTGATAAAAAAACGATTCAATGTATTATACAATAACAATGAACAAAAGATGAAATTATTCTTTTCTGGTAAGATATACACTAGCAAAGAATAAACATGAGATTTCTTCCAAATGCTTCGACTTGAAATCTTTTAAATATTGATAAATGAATTTTAATGTTTCATGCCTGGAGAGCTTCATACTTACAACTATTTCCCTAATATGATATAAGTGACATACTAACCACTTCTAACAACAAAGAAATGAGAAACTTAGAATATGTAGTAGTAGATGCATTTCTTTATTAAGAACCAAATAACACTGAGTAATTTACCAGAAAAATTGTAATCAATTTAAAGGACTGGAAGCGTATTCTTATGAAAACTCATCCAGAATAACACTCAGTAAATCACAGCATCAAATAGTTAGCATTAAAATATGGAATTCTAAAATACATATTGGTGCTGAAAAACATATCTGTGACCAAAATCTACATGGCTATCGCAAACATCTTTACTAGTCTTAGTGTCCAAGTAAATAACTACCTGTAATCCAGAAGGTGAAAAATTGCTTAATACATCAAACTTTATAACGACTGTTTTTATGGTTACATTTAAATGCTCTAGCATATAGTTTTAAAACACTCAAGACATAATTTGTGGTATAGAGTGAACAACATAAATCAGGTATCAAGTGTCTTATGTTGTCATAAATACTCTTGTTAAAACCATCAACTAACATAGCAACGTTTATGGATATCAAGGTATCGTTTTTTATTTTGCTTCAATAGCCTAAATAGAAAAAAGCAATAAAGGAAAATTATTTTTTAGCGCGTCTTTAAAAATAAAAGGACTTAAATTACGTATATATTGTCTATTCAGAACAAAACGTATCAGTATTTGTCGGCCATTGGCGACCTACGATTTGATATAGATCTGATAAAGTTTGAGTTTACACATTTAACTACAGTATGGCCTGAAGAAATTAGCCAGATTACTTGTCGATGGTTTTAAATGACAATGCTGGCAATGGTTTAGAAGTCTAGGAATATTTTAAGCAAAGAAACGTACCTTTCAAACGGAAATTATAGGATAATATAAGGCTCAACATATGAATAAAAACCAAGGGTGAATAAGCATACGTCACTAAAAAGAGATTCTAGGATATGCCGACTAACTTATCCAAATCTAGTTCACAATTATCCCGTGGATTTCAGGCAGTCTTTTCACCACTTGGTATTACTGAGATCAGTGACAAATGAATGTCTGGATAAGCTCCATATTTTGAGTCCGGTATATTCGTTGAGATCACCAGGAATTTAATAATGATTTAACGTTGAAATCGGCAGTTTTGTCGCGCCATACCCGTGTAGCAATGTGAATCAAATTAAATCAAACCAGTGTAATTTTTTTAGAGCCCTTCATGTAGCGCATTTTTTAAGCTTGAAAATTTAGACTTAAATCAAACTGCCAAATACCTTTCGGATTTCAAAACAAACTGACCCGAAATCTAGACCGTGTTGTTCGAAAAATGTTGTAAAGTAATCGTAATGTAAACACCATTACCACGAAATGGACAAAAATTTACGGCTGATAAAAATGTAATGCAGTGCTAAACTTTGTTTTTCGTTTGAAGATGTATTATAAGTCGTCAGGATACAATTGCTATAGCTTACTTCAGAAACTTCTTCGTGTTTAAGGAAGTGTTAAAAATTCAGGCATAACATTACTTGAAATACATTTCAAATTAGGAGCTTTGCGTTTTGTACACTTCACGCTGTTGTGAGGTAAGATGCTCAAAATGTTCTTTCTTGCTTTTCAGACTTTAATAAACACGTTTCTACTTAAATAAAGAATTCTATTCAAACTGCATAATTTCGTTCTATAATATGTGTTTGGTTAAATGTGTTGCTTAGGTTAAACAATCATAAAAGTTGATATATTTAATATATTTCTTAGATTCAGGCTTAAGCCAATATTATTAAACATTAATTACTGTGGTAATACAAAATATCTTTATGACAAATAATAGCCGCAATAACATCCCGTGATATGTAAATTTATATATATATTTTTATTCGTTTATTATTATCATCATAAAACGTTTCATATTAAGAGTTTACCTTGATGGAGACTGTTTGTCTATCATTATTTTAAACAATTAAAAAGCTTTTTCTACTTTTGTCAAATAATTACTTAATCATAAATATAAAATATGTTGAATCACAAATTTCAGACCCATGATAATGAATAATGCCGTGTTATTTGTCCTTCATTTACATATTACAAACGTTAACATTTAAATTAAAGTATTCTATTAGGATTATGAAGAAACATTGGGAAACATATCCTTTGTGACATATTTATCAATAGAATTTTTCGAAAGTCTCTAAACTTCAGAATCGAAACCTTAGTCCTGTTTAGTAGATTGACGAATTTTAGGAGGTGGATGATAAACTACTTTTAATTAAAGTTTGATTGTCTTAGAGTCGAAAGAATACACTAAATGGTCTTGAACTGTTGTTATTGATGATCACTCAAAATCATTGAGTCAAGCCAGTACAAACTTCAAACACAAAATTATATATTATTATATATTATATTATTAACGACTTCATTCAATATTATATTTTTGTACAATATAGAATTCTCAGCTCAGGCTATTTCAACAAGTTACTTACGCAAGAAAACAGTGACAAAGATAAAAAAGGAAAAAGAGGTATAAAAAATGAAATCTGAAAAACTGTACAGCTTTTCAAATTAGAGACATGTTAAGAATGCAGGTTATTGATTAGATTAACTCTAACAACCTGTTCGTCACAGAGTATATTTGCTAGGTAAGGTGTTATAGAACTTTTATTTTTTGCGCACATGAATTTTAGTGTAATTACATCTCGTTCTACCAGATGATATACAAGGAGAAAGATAAGAGTGCAGGGGATGGTTAGTATTTGATAAAATAACACCTGCTATGAGTTTGTATGACTTTGGATGTCTATCTACAACCATATTAATTATGATCTCAAAATATTCACCACACATTTTGCTAACTGCCTTCAGCACTTTCCGCAATACAGCAAGGTCTTTTCTCAAAAGCCCGTGAAAGAATAATGGAGAACAGTAAAGAATAATAGGTAATATGCAAGAATTGACAAATTGTAAGAGTAAATGACGAGTAATCCCAAAAGCATGCAATCTCTCTATGTAATAAGTCAGACGGTAAATCTTTTTAGATAACAATAAAACGTGGGAAGACCAAGAGAGATCAGAGGGGAAGGTAACACCAAGATAATGTACATAATATTGTGATCACATTTTCCTGAGTAATAAAAACTCAGATAATCGATTAGAGTAAACTAGTTGACACGATTCTTGTTCAACTAGCAACACATAAATAATTTAAGTTCTTTTAATGTTACGTTAGTAATATTACTCCTAGATCTATCCCTAGACACTAGAATAAAATAACTTTGGTGCTATTCAAAACACAAGACATGTACTAAAAATGTGCTTTAGGAAAAACACAGTGTTAGGAAAACGATAAAGGTCATAGAAATCACGTGATAGCTATCTAAGCAGCTTTAACTTTGGTTGCAGCACTTGAATTAGATATTTACAGATACAAATAATACTTCTCGACAGTTAGTCAAACGGTATTAAGTTACTTATAAGAACTTTATAGCGGTTTAAATGGCTAAATGGTAAACAATTTATGGCTGCCGTAATAAAACACAACACATTTTCGCAATTATATCTGAGTTTACGAACAAAGTTTTGCACCACCGTTTCTTTTCTTTACGTCAATAAGAAAAATTACTCTAGCATATATTGACATAAATGTTTTGAACTTACAGGTATAATGATAGATGACGTGCGGACCTATACACTGAGAATGCCCTAAGTACTTGTAGACCTTCACCAAGATTAATGTGAAGGTCTAATCTAAGCGCTAAACTTAGAGGAAACACAATTAAGCTAAATCCTGAAGATCTCAGTTGAACTCAATATAATAATGAGTACCGATTCTCCAGACGTTTTGATTCCCGTTTTAATTCTTTCACCCCAAGGTTCTTACCAAACGGCACCAGTGGTTTCCTACTTTTGGTTACGGAGGTTGGTTTGGGAAAGGTTTTTTATCATTGAAAAATTGAAACCGTGGACAATTAAACGAGAAAAAAAGGTTTTTCTTTTCTATTTGGTAGTTAACAACTGAAATCAATATAGATTTGTCGATAAGACGTTTTAAAAATACTTAATATTTAAGTAAATAAAGAATACAAGAATTTATATAAATTATTCGCATCAGTATCCGCGTCGCTGTAAATCAAGCTATTTAAGTTTAGTTACTAATAATAAATCGAATCTGATCGACATGTGTGTTATAATTTCATTTTACAACAAAACAAACTTACATAGGAATCCGCGCTTATGCCAGAAGAATTATCAAATCCAGTTATTGTTATTGGAGTGCTGAGTTCGTCACGATTGCCTTGTGAATCGGCCATGGAATGAGGGTATGAAAGAAATTCAACATTTGATGCTGCACAATCGGCCTGAGGTAGTGCTCCGTATTCTGAAGGATAGTCTTTGAACGTTATACTATAATGTGGTTGTAATGGACCAAAATAATTTGACTGTTGGTTTCCTCCGAATGAACCTAAATTTTCAATATCAATGCAAAGCACTCCACTGGCTTTATTCATCTCAAAGGGTTTGTTACCAATAATGCACTTGGAAGAAGGTAATAAACTGGTCACCTCCTCCCATCGACCCTTCTTTGGGGAAGCGTCCAGTTCTATCATTCACAGTACAAGTAAAAAATTCCTGAGTGAACTCAAGTCATTAAAAGACATCTTTCAGGCATAATCCAAGGTAAGGCACTTTGATGGGTTCGAAAGTAAGTCAAATAAATGTATCTTACATTATGAAAATCTGTTCGTAATACTAACGACTTTTGCAAAGTGAAGAATATAATTAATGGTATCGTGTGTGTTAGAAGGTCTAAATACAAAATAATATTTCAGTCCACAACAGATATTGAAATCTAATTGCAGTTTTTAAAAACTTGTCACATTTCAAGGCCAAGTGGAAAATATCGACAAGACAAACAAAACAAAATACTTGAATACTTTCAGAACGAACTATATTTCGAATAAAATGAGCAAAAAGAATGCCATTCGAGATCTGTGTTTACGAAGTAGAACCTAGTTTTCTAGTTTGAAGCTGTTTAGATTTCTTGAACAAAAGTCTGAAAGAATGAAATGCAGACTAATAAGCTCTTGCTCGATTATGTTTGTAACTTCTTTTTCTTGTCACTAGGTAGGGATTACGTCTCAAAGCTACATCATGAATAAATCGATATATGTATTTAACATGGAATTTTCAGTGACGGTAAACTCAAGGCCATTAGCACGGTAAAAGCAACAGGAATGGATGAACTATAACATAAAATCTTGATACAAGTTTCATAATATTTTGCCTCCACGCTGACTACAACATTTAATGTGTCACTTGATTAAGTTGAGTTACCTACGGACTTGAAGGATGCAATTGGCACACCTATACATGAAACAGGACCAAGACAACTACCATCAAACAACAGACCTGTCAGCCTCACCAGAGTTGTATTTAAAACTTGGAAAGAATGACCAAAGGACTACAGTGACATTCCCGGAAACTAACAACTTATTAAACAGAAAACAACATAGTACCAGGAAAGGATGGTCTCGCACAACAAACTCTCATATATCAAGTGGGCAATGGATGTAGTTTCTAGATAATGCAAAACTAGGGGATGTCATCTACAAATTTCAAGGAAACATTTGATGACGTGCCGATAGATGGACTACTCTTGAGGCTGGAAAATCGGAGTATTACCAGACCTTGATAGATTGTGAACAGAAAGTTAGAATAAATTCCAAATGCTCGTCCTGGAAACCAGTACTTAGTGGAGTACCACATGGCTCCGTCCTAAGTTCTTTTACTTTTTGTACTGTACGTAAACTAACTACCAAATATAGTTGAGTCCTCGATTCTGCCATGCGCTGATGATATAATAATCTGTCAAGAAATAAGAGGAGATGCAGATGCATGTGCGCTTTAGGTGGAATAGGATGCTCTGATTGATGTCTATCAACGCGGCCAAGTGTGTCTACATGCACAATGAGCATACAAAGGTAAGTAGGTACATCAGAGAGAAGTTGCCCGCGCTCATAGTCCAGTCTCACGCGGATCTTGAGGTGACAATGAGTCTTAAGATCTTAAGACCACGGCCCACTGCCATAATGTATCACCTAAACGGTTTAGAACACTAGAGGTTTTAAACGGACATTTCTTAAGCGAAACATCACCATGTTGGCTACGAAATACACAACCTTCAAAACTGGGTCCAGGCTGAAACCCTCTGTCTAAAAGGTGACTCAGATATCTTGGAAAATGTACCCATGCAATTTCGGAACTCCGGAGTTTACCATAAATAGAGTTGCTTCAGGAGCTAGATCTTTTTGTTCTATCATACCACAGGTCAAGAGGTGATCTTATTTTGGTTTATGGAATGCCAAAAAATAAGTTTGGACCAAATGTATTCCCTGTTTTCATTTCTATCATACCTGGGCAACTCAGAGGACACACCAGAAACGAACAAAATACTCGTGGCATACATGTTTTTACATTAACTCGTCAATTCTTGAAGCCTTCACCTTGAGAAGATTAGGCACTCAGAGAAGCTTATAAAAAAAACTAAAACAGGTAGTAAATAGTCTGTTTTAAATACACACAAAATCTTGCAAACTAAGACTTTTACGACAATAAGATGCAGGATGGATATCTATGATATCCTTCCCTTTTTAATGACTTCATTCCTCGCCAATAACGACCAGTCATTTAATTATACGCACCATAATGATATCAGGCTTCGTGGGTCATAACAACCTTCTCAGATGAAAGGATGAATAGCCAACCGTCCCAGACTAGAAAGACTGAGCGTAGTCTCCACAATTTTCCCATGAGAAAGTAACAGAAGTAGTTTTGAACTTAATAGCCTTCCAAGTATTGGTCATTTGCGCTAACCAAGGAAGATTTATTGTGTGTTATTGGCTGAAGAGATCGGAACAAATATCACTCACAGCATGGCACGCAACAAAATGCCCACCACCTACGAGATTGTTAGCTAGTAGACAAAATGTTCCTCTACCGCTTCATAACGATGTCCTAGCTATTTTTGAGGTATAATTACTGGCCATACCTGTTTTGCAGTGTTTCCCGACTACATGACATGCAATGTATGACATGGTATCGTGAAAAACACTGTTTTGATACCATTTTGGATAACTTATTCCATAAGTAGTATTGTTTGTCATCTAGTTACAAGTAGTTAGAAATACTGGTACCCCTTTGATGATGGTTGTAGTAGTTCTCCAAATTTCCGCTAGCTATAGTACAAATTCAGGTCAAAACAAACTGTGTAGCAGCAGTCTCTGCGTCGGTAAGCCTCAACACACACAAGAGGAAAACCAAGATCCTCAAATACAACACACAGAACACCAACCCAATCACTCTTGATGGTGACACTCTGGGAGAGGTGGAAACTTCCACATATCTGCCTAAACAGCATCATCGATGAACATGGAGGATTTGATACAGACGAAAAGGTAAGGGTTAGCAAAGTAAGAAGAGCATTCCTACAATCGAAGAACATATGGAACTCAAAACAACTGACAACCAACATCAAAGTCACAATCTTCAACATGACCATCGAGACAGTTCTACTATAGCTAGATGAAACTTGGAGAACTACTACAACCATCATCAAAATATTACATTTATTTCTAAACAATTGTCTACATAAGATACTCAATATCTGTTGGTCGAATACCATCAACAACAGTTTACTGTGGGAGAGAACAAACTAGCTTCGAGCTGACTGGGAAATTTGGAAAAGACGTTGGGAGTGGATAGGACATATATTAAGGAAATCATCAAACTGTATCACGAAGCAAGCGCTAACTTGGAATCGTGAAGGGGAACGGAAAGGAGGAAGGCCAGAGAACACAATGCGTCGGTAATCGGAAGTAGACATGAAAAGGATGAGTAGCAACTGGAAACAGCTGGAAACGATGGCTGAGGACATAGTTGGATGATGAGCGGTCTATATTTCTGCATAATGTGTAGCATTCTTAAGTCTGCAAGTGGTGAGATCTTGAACGAATGAGTTGGAGTCCAGGTCGTACCTAGTTAACTTTTTCGCATGTTGCATCGGGGCAAATATGATAACCACATCAGCTAGTTCTCTTTCGAAGGGACTTTCTGGCAACTCAGATCTCAGCTTTTTCTAACCAACCACAGGTGCATTTCTAATACTTTTTTTCATTTTACCATAAATATAGTTCGGTTCCTAATTTGAGGCATCTGTGATCCACTGCTATTAGATAAGAAACCCATTAAATAAATGCTTCTTCTATTCAGATTGCAGATTCTGTCCATAACCATTAAAACAGTTTGAATTAATCTGCTTGAATTCTCTACCGGCTGAGCTAGTCCAAGCGACTTCCCAGGAGTCCTTCAAGAGGCAACTTGATCCATTCTTAAGGACCAAGGACAACATCATACTATGATTTACCAATTTCTTTTTCCTCTTTTATCGGTAATATACCTAGGATCATGCCTACAGGTAGTGGTGAACCACAGCTACTAAACACAGAACCCCGTTAAGCGAAAGCTTCTTCTATTCCGTCCACAACCATTTGAACCATTTGGCTTCCGCGTACTTCCAACGGGAAGTTTAGTCCTAACGTGATTTGCGTTCATCAAACTTGTGCTGTGTTTTTACGCAACAAAAGTACCATTTCCGACCAAAAGAATCTATCCTGAGCTATACGTTTGGTAGATTACTTTTTTTTAGTTTCACCCAATTTAATAGTTAACTGTGGTTTTGCCTCAGCTTACTATTCGGATGTTTTTTTAGTTTTTCACGTAAAGACTAGTTCAGTTTTACCCATTTTGTCCGTTTTCAGTGTGCTTTTTAGTGTAGTTTTCACGGTCTTAGGCTTTCGCTATCATCTACAACACAGTTTAGGTCAATACAGTCATGAAAAATTCATGCAAACGAACTGGATGCCGTTTTGCTGTTACATCTGGCATGCACTGCGACAACTGCAAAGGTTGGTTCCACGAAGCGTGCACAGATCACACGGCAACTGCTTACAACAGACTCAGCTAGTCGGATCATAAGTGGGAATGTGTTATGTGCAGCATGGATGCTGTAGTCTTGCTAAGTAATATCATTGTCCTACTGACAGGTCTGCAGAGCAAGTTGTCGGCAAACTCGGAAAAAAAACGGTCAAAAAGTGGATAGACAAACAAGAGAGCGCATTGAAAACGAGAAGAGGGATGTCGACAGGTCTACCGACGACGGAGCATGCAACAGCATTGATGATGACACGCTGAAACTCAGCACCATGATTACGACGACGGTACTCGACTCCCTCAGCAAACCCGGGTCTCACAGCTCAAGGTCCTTAAACGCGACGGTGATTCCTGAAAACTCTATAGGTGATTGAATCCACGTCAAAAGAGCTAAAAAGGGCCAGGCGTCACAGTCTAGGTTGAACATCCCAGCTGTTGGACGGGAGTCAACTGGTGATCTGTTCGCACAGTCTACCCCCAAGAATGCCCGTCCAGTCATCAAAGAGCCAAGGATTCATAAACGTGCTTCGACCCCCAAACAACAAGGTGCTAAACCTAAACGCACCGGAAAACCTGGGACGACAATAACGGTTCGTCATGACACTCTCATAGTTATGAA